TAATTTATATTGATTAGTTTATTATTGATTAGAGAATTGTTATATAATATTAAAACATTGATTTCAATAATTATAAAATTAAATACTCACTAACTGTAATATAATTTATATTGATTAGTTTATTATTGATTAGAGAATTGTTATATAATATTAAAATATTGATTTCAATAATTATAAAATTAAATACTCACCGACTATAATATAATCTATATTGATTAGTTTATTATTGATTAGAGAATTTTTATATAATATTAAAATATTGATTTCAATAATTATAAAATTAAATACTCACAAACTTTAATATAATTTATATTGATTAGTTTATTATTTATTAGAGAATTGTTATATAATATTAAAACATTGATTTCAATAATCATAAAATTAAATACTCACTCGCTATAATATAATTCATATTGATTAGTTTATTATTTATTAGAGAATTGTTATATAATATTAAAACATTGATTTCAATAATTATAAGATTAAATACTCACAAACTGTAATATAATTCATATTGATTAGTTTATTATTAATTAGAGAATTGTTATATTAATATTAAAATATTGATTTCAATAATTATAAAATTAAATACTCACAGACTGTAATATAATTTATATTGATTAGTTTATTATTGATTAGAGAATTGAAAACATTGATTTCAATAATTATAAGATTAAATACTCACGGACTGTAATATAATTTATATTGATTAGTTTAGCAATAAATTATGGATTTAAAATAAATTTAATGTAACTTTATGCCTACTATTCCGATTCTCCTGATTCTTCCAATTCTTCTGTTTCTCCGGTTTCTTTCATTTCTTCCGTTTCTTTCATTTCTTCCGTTTCTTTCATTTCCCTGATTTCTTTAATTTCTTTAACATCTTCCATTCAGTCTCTTCAATTTCTTAAAAAAAAATTTCTAACAGCATTAACGGATTAAATAAATTCCGTTTTGTACAACAATAATGATTGCAATATTTTCTTTTGGATAGATTATCATATTTCCTTTTTGAATATACCAGTACATCTGTAAATGAAAAAAAATAAAACAATGTTATTACAACTCAAAAATATGTACAAATGCAAGTACCAATCAGAGATTTAAAAGAATTTTCCATAACATAAAATGCATAATCCAGTACTTTCTTTAAAGTCAACGAATAACCGAGATATTTGTATTCAAATTATCAACACCTCTGAGCCAACTTTCAAGACATTTTTTTTTTCTTTAAAGTCAACGAATAACTGAGATATTTGAATTCAAGATTACAATGCAAAATCCAAATACTCTCTTGAAGTCGCTAAACTATCAAGAAACTTGACAAATATCTCTCTTTGAAGTCAACGAACTAACCTTCAAGATACTTGAAACAGTTATCAACTCAAAAAGTAAAGCAAGATGATAAACTTCTATTATACTTTTTCTGATTTTAAATTCTAAATGGATCATTTTTAATAATCAAGTAAGTAATGATGATCATAAAACTTGGTTGAATCACAAGCCTGCACTTTCCTAAATTTACTGGATTTATAGCATATAAATTTCAAAGAATTTAAAGAATAAACAATAACTTTATTTTTCCGAGTTTGTGTCGCATTTTAAAGTAATTGTCTCATCTTTAAATTTGGTTTCTTTTATACCTAAAAAAAATTTAATCTCGTGTGTATAATTGATAATCATTCAAATAAGCATTCACTTTACTTGATCTATTGATGTAATTGACAATTAATATTTAGGCTTCAAATCTATTTATAAATTGGTAAATTCTTTATACTGTAATGGAAAGAATGATTTAATCTAATAAATTAAATTCAAGATCATTTTCACATCCGTCACCAATCTTGTGATAATTTGATTAATTTTCTTAATTTATATACAATTAATAATAATGATTAAATTATATTGACCATTTTCCTATGTCATGATAAATGACATTCAGTCTCGTTTTGACTTTAAATTCAATAATGAAATTCAATTATAGAATTTACAATTAATAGAACAAATAAATAGAATTTAACATGAATTTAATAAATCGAAAAAAATTTTAGAATAATAATGTTTGAATATATTCCGAAGTTGGTTACACAAGCGAGGGTTAAAAAATTTAGAAGCCAATTTAGGTCGTAAAACAACTACTTTATAGAAAAATACATAACCTAAAATAACAAGTCCAATTATAATTTATTAAAGATTAAGTTATTGTGGAAAGAATTAACAATAACAACATTAATAATTCACCAAAAAAAATAATAAACATATAAAATAATATTTCTAGAAAATAATTTGATATCCACTTTTTCTAAAAACATATTAGCCTTTACCATAATATCTTTTCGTTTTAGACACCACATTAGTAACAGGATAGGTACGTGCGACACATGTGTTAACTGGTAAAGAACACATTTAACAAACTTGGTAATTATTGTTTAAGGGGTATTGGCGAGGTAAAAGCTATTATTGCTCACGGCCTAAGGATCACATATAGTGTGTGTGGCACACTTCTTAAAGACCTCGTAGATTCTAATATTGACAATTAAATCTCAACTGATCATCTGATCACGATCGAAAATCTAGATAGTGATCAGATTATCCACTCGATATATAAAAAATATATCTATATAAATTTTTCGGGGGGAAAGTTTATATTACAACGAGAAAAACGATCAAGTTTCATTTTCAGTAAACTAAAAGAAAAAAAAAAATAATATATTAAACTTATATTATCTCTAAAATAAATAAATAAATAATGGTCGATGCAACAGAAGCTTTCAAGATCAACGCTGCTGCTGCTACAAAAAAGTATACTATAACACCCCGTATTGGTAAACAGAATTCAAAATATCATTATTGAATTCCATTTATGATTTTACTATTTCACTTTTTCGTCTTTTCATAGATTATCGTACGGTTGTTAGCGTAAATGGACCTTTAGTAGTATTGGATAATGTCAAAGTAATTTTTTTTTTTTATATTACATTTTTGACGACTTTTATTATATTTATTTATAATATATTTTACTTATTCGAAAAATAAAAAGTTTCCAAAGTTCGCGGAAATTGTAAATTTGACATTACCTGATGGTTCAATTCGAGCTGGGCAAGTTTTAGAAGTTCAAGGAAAGAAGGCAATAGTTCAGGTATTATAAGAATTTTAAGAATTTTTCAAATAACTCTTCACATGTAATTATAATTAGTTTTTTTAATATAAATATATAAATTGAAATTTGAATTCTAAGGTGTTTGAAGGAACTTCAGGTGTTGATTCAAAAGCAACCCACGTTGAATTTACTGGTGATACTTTAAAGATTCCGGTATCTGAAGACATGTTGGGTCGTATATTCAATGGTTCAGGGAAAGCCATTGATAAAGGTCCCAAAGTTTTTGCTGAGGAGTTCTTAGATATAAATGGTAAATTTTTTTTTTAATAATAATCTTATTCATTGATTTTTTATGACGAATTTTTTTTAAAAAAAATTATCTTTAATTGGTATGATTTTAGGATCTCCTATCAATCCTTATTCACGTATTTACCCGGAAGAAATGATTCAAACCGGTATTTCTGCCATAGATACTATGAATTCAATTGCACGTGGACAAAAGATCCCAATATTTTCAGCAGCTGGATTACCACATAATGAAGTAAGTTATTATTGATTAAAAAAAAATTTACATAAATATTACACATACACTCACTTTCTCTCTCTCTACTCTCTTCCAGATTGCGGCTCAAATTTGTCGTCAAGCAGGCCTTGTCAAAAAAGATTTTGACAAAGGAATATATGATTCCCATGAAGATAATTTTTCAATTGTATTTGCTGCTATGGGAGTTAATATGGAAACCGCGAGATTCTTTAAACAAGACTTTGAAGAAAATGGATCAATTGAACGAGTCACGCTTTTTTTGAATTTGGCCAATGATCCAACGTAAGCTTTCTAATACATACATACATACATTCATTCATTCATTTAATTTATTTATTCGTTTAACAAATTTTTTAACAATTGTTATTCTCGGAAATAATAATTTATTTATTTTTTTTAGTATCGAACGTATAGTTACCCCACGATTGGCTCTTACTACTGCAGAATATTATGCCTATCAATTAGAAAAACATGTGTTGGTTATTTTAACTGACATGAGTTCATATGCTGACGCTTTACGAGAAGTAATTAGATTAAAAAAATTATTTTTTAATTTTTTTTTTTTTACACATTTGATACATTTTATTGTATTTTTAAATATATTAGGTTTCAGCTGCACGTGAAGAAGTACCTGGTCGTCGTGGATATCCTGGTTATATGTATACCGATTTATCTACGATATATGAACGTGCAGGTCGTGTTGAAGGAAGAAACGGGAGTATCACTCAAATTCCTATTTTAACTATGCCTAATGATGGTATATGATAATCTATTTTGTCATATTATGATTTTAAATGAATGTTTTCTGTTTACAAATTAATTAAATTAATTAAATTCTTTTTAATTCTTTTAATTTAATTTAATTTAATTTTATTTTATTTTTATTTTTATTTTTGTTTAAAAGATATTACACATCCTATTCCCGATTTGACAGGATATATTACGGAAGGACAAATTTTTATTGACCGTCAATTACATAATCGTCAAATATATCCACCTATAAACGTTTTACCATCACTCTCTCGATTGATGAAATCTGCTATTGGGGAAGGTATGACAAGGAAAGATCACGGAGACGTTTCTAATCAACTTGTGGGTTCTTTTCTTTTTTTTTTTCCTTCTAAAATTCCTGGTTCTATTTATATAATAAATTTTAATTACTTATTTAATTACTATATCTAATTACTATATTTTATTAATTTATCTTGTTAACATATCTTGTTACTATATCTTTTTACTATATCTTATTACCGATCTTATTTAGTACGCTAAATATGCCATCGGTAGGGATGCAGCTTCGATGAAAGCAGTGGTGGGAGAAGAAGCTCTTAATCAAGAAGATAAACTCTCTTTGGAATTTTTAGAAAAGTTCGAAAAAACATATATTGCACAAGGTATTTATTAATTTTACAATTATTTAATATGTTTTCATAATGTTATATATAAAAATATGTTTGTTCGTTTTTTATTTATTTATTTATTTACATTATTATATATTTTTATGATATCTCTTTTCTTTTTCTTTTTTTTAGGTGCATATGAATCCAGAACAATTTATGAATCATTAGATCAAGCGTGGTCAATTCTTCGTATTTTCCCTAAAGAAATGTTAAATCGTATACCTCAAAAAGTTTTACAAGAATTTTATCAACGTGATAGAAAAGCCAAAGGAACTTATAAGAGTAAAACTACTTTGGTTGATGTGGGAGATGAATGATAAAAATTAATCATCACTGAGATTAATAAATAATGGATTAATTTATTTATTATTATTATATTTATTTATTTTTTATTTTTTTGAAATACTGTATTTTTAATCATTTTTATAGATTTATTTATTTTTTTTTTTTAACTTAACATATTTTTTCATTATTATTTTGATTTTATTTGTTAGTTACGAAATTAAAATATTTTGATAAACTTCTATTTCATATAATAACAATAATAACAATAATTTATTGCATTAAAGCATAAACATTTAATTTAATTATACGGTATTATTTGTAATCTATTTTATTTTCAAAAAAAATTTATGATGATGATCCAAGTGATCAGCGGAAAGAGTTTTATCTCTAAATCAATATTGTTACGTAACGTGTTAATCCTTGGTGATTAGATTAAGTTGTCCCATTATCCATGTTCAAAGAACATTTGGATAGTGATATTCAAGTATATCACCGAATTAACAAATTAACGTGAATTGACTTTATTTACATTTATTTTTACGTGCTCTAAATAATTTTTTGTAAAAAACACATTAATAACTGATTGATTAATTAAAATATATATATATATATTCGTCATTATCATGGGAGATCCAAAGTCAAAACAATTCGAAAACATTTATTACGGACTTTCAAATTACCCCGGTATTCTCAAACTTGCACCTAGTGGGTTAGGTTGGAAAACTGCGGATTCGGAAAACATAGTAACAATTTCTGCTGATGAGTTTAAAAAAATTCAATGGATGCGTGTGGCAAGGGATTATCAATTAAAGGTTGCATTAAAGAATGGAAGTGCAGCTAGATTTGATGGATTTGTTAAAGATGTATTTATTTATTGATTTATTATGAGTCCGAGTTTATTATTATTATTATATTGATATATATTAATATTCTTGTACTATTGATTTACGATCGATTTTTTAGAATTTTGAAAGTTTGAGAGAAATTATTCGGACAAATTATAAGTTAAATTTAGAAACTAAAGAATTAAGTGTTAGGGGATGGAATTGGGGAAAAACAGATTTTCAAGGTACAGATTTTTTTTTTAAAAAAAAGATATCAATGTAAAGAAATGTCAGATTTACATGTATATATGTTAATTTATTTTTTATTTATTTATATTTTTTTTTTTTGCTTTAGGATCTCAATTAATTTTCAATATTGGCAATAAAACTGCTTATGAAATTCCCTTATCACAAGTTTCGAATACTAATCTTCAAAATAAAGTTGAAGTGAGTCTTGAATTTATGCAACCAGAACAATTAGGAGAAGATGCTAAGGTTAGAAGTAGAAAAGCTCCAGTACATGAATTAGTTGAAATGAGATTTTATGTTCCGGGAAGTACAGTTGTTACTAAAGAAGGAGAATCTGAAAAGAGTAAGAATGGATCAGATGAAGAGGAAGAAGAAGAAGAAATGAGTGCAGCAAAAGTTAGTTTTAATTATAATAAAATTATTTCAATATTTAATTTCATAATACTTTAATTCTCATACATTTTTCAATTGATAATAATAATAATAATAATAATAATAATAATTTTATATGTAGTTATTTTTCGAAACGGTAAAAGAAAAAGCCGATCTTACTCAAGTTTCTGGAGAAGGAATTGTATTATTCCAAGATGTTTTATTACTGACACCACGGTAGGTTTTTAATTACCCACTTATTTCATTTCCATTTCTTCCATTTCATATGCGTATTCAAATTATTTCGTTTTTTTTTTTTAAGTGGTCGATACGATATCGAGATGTTTCCAACATTCTTTCGATTACGAGGTAAAACATATGATTATAAAATTCAGCAGACAAGTGTCGTTAGTTTATTTTTATTACCGAAACTCGATGATCTTCATGAAATGTTTGTTGTAAGTTTTTGTGCCTTTCTTTCATTTCTTTTTTTTTCTTTTGGGAAGTATATTTTTTACCTTTGATTTAATAATTACTATTATATTACTATTATATTAATTATTATAATAATTATTATTTTAATTAGATTGGCCTTGATCCTCCGTTACGACAGGGTCAGACACTATACCATTTTCTAGTTTTACAGTTTAAAAAAGAAGAGGAGAGAGAATTTCAATTAAATCTTGATGAGTTCGTACCGTTTTTATATATATCCATCTTTAGAATGAATATTGAAAAAATATTTATATTTGTATTTTTCGTATCAATTGAAATCTCATTTATATATATATAGTGAAACAGTACAGAAAGAATATGGGGGAAAACTCGAACTTCAATATGAAGCACCAGTATTTGAAGTATTTAGTACAGTCTTTCATGTATTAACCAAAAAGAAAATAATCCGACCTTCAGGCTTTCAAAGGTAATAAATTCAATAATAATAATGTTGTTCATTCAATTAGTAAAATAAAATAAAAATCTAATTTAATCTAATTTTTTTTTTTTATTCTTTATTATATGATTAAAATACTAATTATAATATTATATAGTCAACATGATGAAGTAGCAGTAAAATGTTCTTTAAAAGCCAATGAAGGTTATTTATATCCACTTGAAAAATGTTTCTTGTTTATTCCTAAGCCACCAACTTTAATAAAGACATCGGATATTGAAAAAGTTATATTTTCCAGGTATTCATCTCATCTTCATCTTTTTCTCTCTCTTTCAATACACATTATTTTTTGAGTTTTATATTTTTTATTTATTTATCTAAACAAAATTATTCAAAATTATTCTAAAATTATTCTAAAATTATTTATAATTATTTATTTAATTTATAGAGTGTCGATGGTAGCTGGTAAAACAGCACATCTTACTTCAGCTCGAACATTTGATGTAAAATTTAGTATGAAAAGTGGCTTGGAATATCAATTTTCTAGTATTGTTCGGTAATTATTATTATTATTATTATTATTATTATTATTATTATTATTATTTTAGTCTATTATTAAAAATAGCATTTTAAATGAACAAAAAAAAAATTAAGATGATTATTATTATTTTTTTTTCTAATATTAGTGAAGAATACGAACATCTGGATAATTATTTCCGAGAAAAACATATAAGAACTGAAAACGAAACTGATGATAAAGTATGCAATAATTAAATTAATTAAATTTTTATTTTAATTTAATTAATTTATTTTTATTTATTTTTTTAATAATAATAAGGGTCAACAAGTATTAGATGATTATGCAGATGTTTTCAGTAATAACTCTGATGATGAACCTCATCAAGATGGAAGAATAGTTGCAGAAGATTCCGATACTGGTAAAAATTTTCCCATATTTTCCATACATTTTTCATTTCCCGGGTATTTTATTAATTTTTTTTTTTTATTATTTTATTTTTTGAAAAAAAAGTGGATGATGATTTTGTTGCATCATCAGATAGTGACTCAGATGTTGCAGAAGAATATGATGAAAATTATGCAGGAATTGGATCATCGACAGATGGAGAAGATAAAGGGGTACCTAAGAAAAAAGTCAAAATTTCAAAAACAAAGAAACCCAAATCATAATTTTTTTCATTATTAATTTTCCGTTTTTCTATATATCTATCTATCTATCTATCTGTTGGTAAATGGTTTTTATAATTAATTAATTAATTAATTAATAAAAAATCAATGTCCAATGCTTGGAATAATATGTAGATAAATATATATATAACGAGAAAATTGTAACAAAACATAAATCAAAATAATACAATCAATACAACCTGCATATAATAATAATAATGATAATAATAATAATATATGTAAAGTAGATAAAAATTTTGAATAGAAAGAAAAAAAAAAGTGGTTAATTCATTATTTCTTTATATTCCTTTACATGATATTATGTAAATATAAAAATAAATAAAAGAAAATCAAACCTTGCACATAGGAATAACTCTAACAATGTCTTTCTTTTTTTTTTCTTATTTCTTATTTTTTTTTTTTTGTTATTCTTATTATTATTATTATTATTAAAAAAGAAAACTTTTAAAAAACGCGTTTCATCAACAAATAAACTTGTTGTCCAACATGAAGATTTTGTACATGACGAAAATCTCCTTCTAGTGACATAAGTAAACCACCATAAGATATATAAACAGCACTAATAATATTAATTTATATTAAAATTTATATTAATTTATATTAATTATTTAAATTAAGAATTATATCTTTTGGATCAGAATTAAATAATTAAATAATATATTAAAAATACATCATATATATATATGTTAAATTAAAAGGATACACTTTGCTTCTTCTCTCTTCATCATATTTATAAACTTTTCCATACATAACATATTCATATTCATCTGATAAATCTTTTTCTAATGGACCTTTTTCTCTCCAAGAAACTTTTTGTTCTGATGATGATGATTCTTCTGTAGGTGCTACAATACTAATATCTTCGGGTTGTATAGTAAGTTCCGGTGATAATGAGGTTGTAAGAATTACATTAACTTTATCTCCTATATCTAAAGGATAAAGTTCAATATTTATATCTATTGTAAGTTCCATTTCTAAACTTTCTCCACGTCCAGTGAAACGTGAAACTATATAATAATTATAATTATAATAATTATAATTATAATAATTATAATGATATTCAAAATTCACGATTAAATTTAAAATATTTTTTAGAAATATTTAAAACTTAAATTATATATAAATTATATGAATTACATACCACGCAAAAATTTTTTCCCATCTTTATCCATATTATTGATACAAAAAGTATCTCTAAACAAAAGTACATTTTTTTTAGACATTTCAGTCAAAGTTGCTAAAAGTAAAAGTAAGAAAGTTCTCTATTTATGATCACGTTACACAAAATTAGATAAGATTTTATGTATCACATTAAACGTTTCATTTAACATGCATGATGCATCAGTAGATTCACGCGACGCGAAATGTCTTAAAGATAATAAATAATAAATTTTTATTATTGTTAAGTCAAACTTATATTCTTTAAAGAAAAAAGTTTCATTTGACTGGCTAAAATTAATAATAATCCATTAAATATCTTTCTTTACAATAAATTCAAGGCGCATGTCGCGTATTAATTATCATCATCATAATAATAATAATAAACAAAAATGGAAAATTTTATTTTATTTCTTTATATAAAATGGTTTCCATTTCCTAGTAAAATTTTAGCCAGTCACATCTATGTTAATCTAAAAGTTTTACCATTCATATATTATTTGCAGTTATTCTGATTGTACTCACTTCCACATTTACAAATTTTTCAGAGTACTTTATTGAAAAGAAACCAGACGAGTAGAAAGAACTTGACTTCCTTGGCTAATTGAGAATAACTATAAACTGGTCCACACAAATTTATCAATCCAAGAACGAAAGAGAAAAATGGCATGGTCTAATTAAGAAATTGTAGATCTTGGTGTAAGAACTTTTTGGAACAAGAGATAACCAATGACTGTGACCATTTGATATCTTTTGCTAAGACTGAATCAAAGTCAATAAATCATAAAAATTTGGTAAGTTTATTTTATGAGCATGAGGAATGATGAATATTGCAACTAAACAGGCCGGTATAGGAAGTTTAGGCCTCAAGACATCTCTATAGCCACACGTTATAGGGACATGGCTAGCCGTCTTGGGCATGTAGTATGTTGTTACTGAACAGGCCGGTATAGGAAGCTCAGGTTCAGGACATCTCCTGTAACCACACGTTACAGAGACATGACTAGCTCCAGTATTGGATAGTCGTCCTGAGCAAACAACCATTCTACAACCATTCTATAAAATTATAGTTACATCAGAAATAAATTGTTATATGATCTCAAACTAAATTTATTCCTTTTTCATTTTTCCAAATGACATCTCCAAATGGTGGAACACGTTACCACGCAAATGGAACTTGAGAACTTAAAAAGTCAAGGACTCTATCTCAGGTTAGTTGAAATGTATGTGTTGTGAAGGTATTGAAATGAATTCACTTAAATGGAGCAACTTTTAAATAAGTCAAGTGGACATCAACTCGAAATGTGAAAACACGGAATAGATTTTGGGAAGTAGATTCTTTGGGCGAGAATGATTGAAACACGTGAGTAAATACATATTCTTTAGCTATAAGCTGGGAATTGACATAGCTAATTATTTTCATTTCACTATTTTTAGGACAAAAACATTTCCAAAAAAAACTCGCCAAGACATCAATGAACTACTACAAACTATTAAGGATTTTTCTTAAATTTTATTATTTTGTGACGATATATTTAATGATCGATTTTTGATCTGATAATAATAAATTAATTTTAATGATTAATTTTTGGTCTGATAATAATTAATAATTTTTATTATTATTATCATTATTACTAGAAATTGAATTTTTTTTTGAGATTTGATTGCTTTTCCTTAATTGTTATCTACAATTATAAAAAATTGCCAAATTTTACTTTCCGTTTAAAGTATTATGTATGTTACATATTTATAAAATGCATCATATAGATCTTGAGCATTTGGATATTCGGTTTACTGAATAAATATTTCACATTTTTGATTTGATACCATTACAGCATTACATTATTAAATAAGTATCATGTGCTTGATCAAAGAATGGCTATTTTCCGGTAGCAATTTCATACATAATTTCACCAAAGTTATAAATGTCACCTCCTTTGTAAATGCATTTCCACACCATACTTCGGTGGAAGATATGATATGGAATTGTACCATAAATATTATTACTTTTGCTATTACAGTCGACCCCCTCTAAAGGCACCCTTGTATAAGAACGCTCTCACACAGTACTTGATCCCTATATAATTCCCTCGCTATAAGAACTCCCATCTTTAGTCACACCATTTGTTGGTCCTGAGGGGGGTGTGCTTATAGAGGGGGTTGACTGTCAATAGTTTCTAAACTATACGATCCAATATCAGTAATTTAATTATTTTCTTTTTTGGTCTGGTGGGTTGAGTGTTGTGCTTCCAAGTTGTTGTAAGGTGTAGATAGGGTTCCGTGTGCATGTTAATGTCGGCATCTTTTGATGGGTGTCAGTCCGTTAGTTTTTAATTATAGTTAGTTTTATTCCCGATTAATGTATTTTATACTAAAATATATTGAATAAAGGCAAGATCTCACAGATCGTTAATAATAATAATAATAATAATAATAATATCATCTTTAACTGGAAATAAAAATATTGAAATAAAATAAAATAAAATAAATAGGAATAAAATATAATATAATAAAGATCTCTGAAATAAAAATTACATCTACACCTTTTTTTTCTTTTCGAAGAGCCAATCATATCTATAATAATCTATCTTTAGTTTATAATGATGTTATTAAAAATATAATATTTTTATTATAATAAATAATTTCTTTTATTAACATTATATCTTTAGAAATAAGATAATATATAATAATACAAATATATGATCTATAAAAATATAAAATTCATATTACTGTATCTTCAGGATCATAATTTTCATTTATAAGTCTATATAAATACGAAGGAGGATGTCCTCCACTATAATAATAATATATACAAATGTATATATATAATATGTTAACATATTAATAATTAAAAAAAAAAAAAAAGAATTAATCATTATTATTATTTAAAACTTACGTATTTGTAATAAAGAGGTTAACCAATTCAGGTGAAACGTAATCATAATATGGATTTAACAATGTCACCTTATCTATAAATTCTCCTAAAAATTATTAAAATATTTATAAACATTTTTTAAAACATATTAAAAATATTAAAAAAATATTATAAAATTATTAATTATCAATAACAATTATTATTTACCTTCTTCAAAACTTAACACTGAATCAGGAGCAACAAGATCATTAAAAGAATCTTCATCATATGGATAAAGAGGTGATAATTTATATAATCCAGTACAAACTACAACAGGTGTAGAATGATGTTTAGCTGCAGTGGCTACTGTTTGTGTTCCACTTACTGAGATTAACCCTCCATTTGCTAATACTAATAATATTATTATATATCAATAATAAAATATATTTGTATCAATAATAAATAAATAGATCATAATAAAATATTTTTACCTGCATGTGTTCCCATTATCACTTTATTAACTCTTGACATAACTGCAAAAATTGCCGAATCTGATATTACAGTTGTATCAATTCCTGCTTGTGACAGAGATAATGCCATTTCATGACCTAAGTATCTAATGAATATTATTTATATTATTTATATTATTCTAATTTGTATATATTACATTAATATTGAAAAATATTATTATTATTTCATATCATATTCATTATTATATCAATATCAATATATATATATATATATATATATCAACTTACGTTGGAGATGTTTCGGCAACAATTACACTAAATTTTCGTTTCTTTGCTGCAGTTTTCAAAAAGTATTCCACTGTTCTTGATTTACCTATAGTCATGATAATCTCACTATAATTAATTAATCAATTAATCAATTATAAATAATTAATTATAAATAATTACAATTAAAATAAATTGATTGTATACTTTGAATGAATGTTTTCCATTGCTTGATCTGCGATATTATTATACATATTTTCTAATTCACTAATAATTTCTTGCATCTCTGATATAATAAGAGACTTCAAATGTAAATAAGGGAAAATAAAAGATGAAAATAAAAGTAAAGGATAATAATAATAATAATAATATATACACATATATTTTATATTTTTATTATAACCAAAAAAAAAAAAAAAGGATATTAAAATTTTTCCTATGATAAACCATTGACTCGCTTGTTACATCCAACAAATTAATCATAGAAGCCGAAGAAGATGAAAAAAAATTTGATCCACTATCACCACCTTGTGAATCAATAATTCTCTTTGGTTGAAATATGGATTTAGTTTTGATTTCATCATCATCATCCTCTTCTTCATCTTCCATTGCTTGTGAAAATGATTGCTTGCTACCAACTCCATCAACCCCTCCATCTGTAACTGTAATTGTAACATTGGTTGTAGATATTCCAACTTCAGCTTTATATACATCTCGTATCAATCGTAATACGCGACGTACAATATTTCCTACCGCAAGTTCTAAAATTTTTATTAAATCAATATTCTCGACAGATAATTTTTTTTTTTACTTAAAAAGAATCTTTTTCAGACACACCTCTAGGTTGTGCAAGTATCAACCTCCTTCCAACATCTTTAACCAATTTTATTAAGGTTCCAACTTGATTCCACCTTGTAGCAGAAATCACTTGTCGAAGTAGTAAGGCTGTTTCCAGTGAAACTGATAAAGAACCTACAACTTGTCTTATTTTTATTTAAGAAAAAAAATTTTATTAAATTTATTATTATAAAAAAAAAACAAAATATAATTTTATTAAAAAAGGTACCTTCGACGAAGGCGATTCACTAAACTTTCAATTTTGGAATTTAGATCGCGTGAAATGGTCATATTGATATATATTAATTATTAACTATGTATGAAGTGTAAAAAGTATATATTTTAGTGTTCCAAAATAAGTATCCATATTTTACAGTTTACTTAATTCAAACTACTGAAAATACATCAAAAATACCAAAAAAAAAAAATTGTAAACCAACTTCAAAATTATTGGAATCAATAATGAGGTAATTAAAAACTTTAAAAAATTTAAAACTGGTTTTACCCCGATTTATAACATTAGTATATCAATTTTATTAATAATTAATTGATAACAATCCGTCAACAAAGCGACGGGTCACTTACTAGTTGTTTATTAAAATCAACGAATAAAATACTGTGATCACTTAACCGCGACGTGCAAATTTACATAGTAAAAAAGTTAAGTCAATAAATCTAGTGACAAACATTAGCATAAACACGCCCGCGTCATTTTAAAAATGAAATCCAGCGATACAAGCAATATTTTATATTTTAATAAAATTTTCGAGACCCTATTGTAATTTTATTTTCCAAGACCCCAACAAAAATTCCAAAATCAAAATTCCCTTCTCGGATCACTGTTTTGAACTCTTCGATTTCTTTTCGAGCTAAAATAATAAAAAATTTAATAACATTGGATAATAAAAATTAATGACATTGAATAATAAACATTAATAACATCAAATAATAAAAATTCATTATAAGTAATCATACTTATGAAATTGTTAAACCATGCTTTACACTGAACCACGAATCTGTATCTGCAAACTTCTACAATAATGTCTCGACCTCTATCACCACTCCCTCTAAAAAATAATTTAAATAATTTAATGAGTATATGTTTCAACGCCAACATGCATCTTATTCATCATTAAATCCCCGAGCAACGCAAACGGTCAGGATCATTGACAACTGAGAAGAACGTTCACTGCCGAAACAGTGGCCCGATGCGCTTTCGATTCTCAGATAATTTACGTCAATGTGGAAGCGTAACTTCAGATACATAATAACTCGACATAACTCAGTAAGAAAACTTACCTGTATGTATAACTATCACACCTAATTCTTCAAAATACCTCATCAACAACGCGCAACAACTCCAAATGTACCCGGCGCCTCTCCTTCAATACGTACGAATTCGATTTCAGTAGACATTTTATTTTGAAAAAAAGTTAATATTTGTGTTATTTGTGTTAGTAAACATTGGAAAAACTTTTATACCTTTAATAAACATTTCTGTCAAAAACATACTTAAAAATTACTCGATTAGTTCAAAAGAACATGCCGAAACCATTTTTAGAATTTTGAAAACCTTTTTATATCTTTATTTCCAATCGCACATCAAAACCTGCTTTATTTAACCTTAAATAGAATTGAGCAGTTACGATATACTAAATTCGGTTAATAACTCATGATACATGCAGAATTTAATTACACAATTTTTTTGTCATAACTAGGGATGTCGGTTCAAATATTAGGAACCGTAGCAACCGCGGTTAATTTTATGTTGTTAAACTGACGGTTTGACCGTTATTTTATGCGGTTGAACCGATGGTTCAACCATTTGTTTTCCTCTCACGGTTTTATAAATATTACTTACCTATTCTTAACAATATTATAAAACACTTACTATTTCTAACAATATACTTACTTTTACTCCCTTCGAATCGGGTTCGTGGGGGCTTTTACTCCTTTAAATAAGGTTCGTGGGGAGGGGGTTACAATACAATTACCTTTACTTTTTCAAATCGGGTTCGTGGGTTATTCTTAGTATCTTCTTTCCGAAATCAGTTCGTGGGAGTTAAAAAGTAAGTTATTATTATTAAAAAGTAAGTTATTATTATTATTATAAAACACTCGCTTTTTTCTAACAATACACTTACCTTTACTTCTCGAGTCGGGTTCGTGGGGACCTCTACTCCCTTAAATCGGATTCATGAGGGACCTTTACTCCTTTAAATCGGTTCGTGGGGACCTTTACTCCTTTAAATCGTGCTCATAGGTTCATGGGGGATTTTTCTCCTTTAAATCGGGTTCGTGGGACCTTTACTCCTTTAAATCGTTTTAAATCGGGCTTATTAGCACCTTCCTTTGAAATGGGTTCGTGGAGAAGGGTTACCATATAGAAGTAAGTCTTTTTTATTATAAACCAATAAACGATATACTAATTCTGTTAATTTTTACAGATTTTTTTACGTATGACATAACACGTTTCTATTAGCCGTGATCGATGCATGTGATTGAAATAATGTGGCAAGCAGAGTCGATCATGAGGGGTTAATGTGGTACTAGTTAATCGTACATGGGCTAAGAATAAACTTTATTTTGAAAAACTGGTAGAATGAACATTGTTCAGTTTAATTGATCACAAATGCATGATGGTATCAGATTTACACTATAAATAAAGTTACAATCAACAGAGTGGCAAATATTCTAATTAACCATATTTTATACACACCCTTCATTGTTATAATAAGAATATACTGAAAAGTTTATATACGTTTTTTTGGCTTAGATATCTTTACAACGTGATTCATGTAATTCTAGCAAATTCTAATCTTTACATGAAATAAATGCCCATCGATACGATCCCTATAAAAGATGTGATTTTTTGTCACCCACAGAATCAAAATTAATAAAATGCCACAATACAAACAATAAAAATTTTGCAGACAACAATAAAAAAAAATATCCGAAAAATAAATCCCATTGAACTTCATACTTAGCTTTTGTCAAAATAGAAACAGAGTTTCATTGCTCCGCAATAAGTATATTCGCTTGTGATTGAATGTCTAAGTGTTCTCCACAATTAATTTTCTAATCAGATTTTCTTTGCACAGATGTATTCATTTAACGTCTCGGAAAATATGCCTTTTATGGTATTAACCACTTCTTTGTTTTTCTTTCTCATGACGATATTCCCCAAACACATTCTTCTGTGTATGGGGGGTGTTACCACATGTTTCTTTTTGTACCACACTACACAAAAGCTCACCAATATTACCGCAGAAATTGGCAAAATCAAAGCCGAAATTAATTCTCGTGATGCCAACTATGTAACGGAGGTGCAGAATATTATTTCCACAATTAATAATCTCATAAGGAAATATAATGAAGTCGAGTGAGTTCTGGAAACTTACCATAATAATTTTAGTCGAATTGCTACTGAATTCGGCAAAACTATCACGATGATCCAAAGCGAAATTAATCAACGCTATGCACTTACCCAGAGCATGAATAGGAGGGGTCCGATCAACAAAGTGAAGCATCATCATCCTCCACTCATTCTTCATCTTCTACTCATTCATCCCCAAATTCCTCAGGTAGAGATTGAGCCGAGATACGTGAAATTTATAAAAACAAAAATTACTAATCATATTCTTTATTGTAGGATCTGAACGAATTCAATACACAGATATTACCTCAACAATTTGTTCCCGCTTTAAAGAAATCTTCGATAGGGTCATGGCTGAAATATACCTTTGATGAGATGTGTTATAGTGTAGTGATGCGCATTCGTGAACTTGGAGGGAATATTAGGTAATCTATAGTAAAAAATTTTTATAATAGAAGTAGTGATTGTAAAGCTTGTACAGTTAATGAAATAGGTAGATAGTTAGACAGTATGGAGTAGGGAAAGGAACAGCCATTGTTTTACAATGTAAAGAGGACTAGGATCCGGCTGGCATATTACATGCTTTATTCCTCCCTCTTTGTTCCTACCTCACGAATAATTTTATAGGCCGGCCTTTTACATTGTAATTAAAGCTCCTCATAGGCCTTAAGGCTCACGAGCCTAGCGAACTGAGCCAACCAAGCTGAGCCGAGCCTGATATTATAGGCTTATAGGCTCGCGAGCCAAGCCCAACTAAGGTCTGGCTCGAGCCTTAAAAATTTTGGGACCTTAAATAAAAGCCCACATAATTTTTTTTTTAAAAAAAAATTATTGTTGCTATTAAATAGCAACGGAAAAAATCAAATTAAAAAAGCAATTCGTCGCTATTTAAAGTGACAGATCGCTAAAAAAAAAAGCGATCCGTCACTATTTAAAGTGACAGATCGTTAAAAAAAAATTATTTTTTTTAAAAAAAAAAGCGATCCGTCACTATTTAAAGCGACAGATTGCTAAAAAAAAATTATTTTTTTTAAAAAAAAAAGCGATCCGTCACTATTTAAAGTAACAGATCGCTAAAAAAAAATTATTTTTTTTAAAAAAAAAAGCGATCCGTCACTATTTAAAGTGACAGATCACTAAAAAAAAAAAATTAAAATTTCGTGGCTTTATTTAAAAG